TGGATTTGGATTTGGATTTGGATTTGGATTTGGATTTGGATTTGGATTTGGATTTGGATTTGGATTTGGATTTGGATTAGATTAGATTAGATTAGATTGGATTAGATTAGATTAGATTAGATTAGATTAGATTAGATTAGATTAGATTATGTTATAAGATGGGTTAGGAACTTATCACCACGTCACTGCATCCTTTGAGGATTATTGTGACGTATCAACTTCAGTTCCATAGACGAGTAGCAGTTTAGAAAGCCATTATGTCCTTTGGAGAGATGTTGCCTAATTCCGTTATAAGGGGATAGGCAGTGAATAAGTACCGAAGTCTGAGTCTGGCAAGACTATCACACTGACACAGAATGTGTGCTGCTGTTTACTCTTCTTCGCAACAAAGTCTGCAGCTATCGTCTCTAGTAATACCTAGGTTCGATAGATGTAATTCATCGTTTATGAAAAAATTGTTATTGATTGTTATTGATATATTCGACGAAATATGCTATGATGTCTTATTTTTATAGAAAAAGTTAAACTGCTGCAAAATATGCCAAAAGTTTAACTGATTGAACGCTGAATCCGAAGCTATTTGTTCCGGAAATTTCGAAATCGAAAATATAGCTTAATTTGGTCGCTCGGTCACTAAAAAAGTCGTTGTAATTTTGCAACTAATGGAGAAAAACGAAAACGTCAGCTATCATGAAATAGCAGAGGCAGTAAACATCAAGCACATGTGCTTTTGGAATCATTTGAAAAGAGCAGACTAAAACGTTGTTGTTTGGATTGGACATAAATTAACAGAAACGAATTTGATTGGCGAAATTACCATTAGTAAAACACTGTTAAAATGAAATGAAACCGAACCATTTTTAAAGCGAATCGCTATTGACTGAGATTAGAGTGCTCATGGTCAAAGGCCAGTAACTCTCCTCAACGATTGGACTGACGACAAACGAGGTTATTTTGATTGTAAGGTTGGATAAGAATAGAATTGTTTTTTATGGGTTGCTTAATCTGTTGCAGCGGTTAATTTGGTTATCTATGGTTTAAAGTTTGACTGCTTAAAAGCAATAATTAAGGTAATGTGACAAGAATTTAGTAACAGAAATGGTGTTCTGTTTCAACATGGCAATGCCAGGCCATACACATCTTTAATGACTCGAAACAAATTAACAGAACTTGGTTGAGTTGTTCTGATGTATCCACTATATAATCCGGACTTTGTACCAGCTGACTGCTATTTTGTTGTGGTGCTTGCTACACTCTCTGAAAAGTGAAACTAATCAACCGAAGATCTGATAAATCACAGAAGTTTTACACCGATAGCATTCTGAAGCTAACCGAAAAATATCATAAGATCACAAACAATAATGGATAATATAAAATTTAATAAAATCATTTTTTGATAACGAAAATTTTTGTTTAAAAATATTCAAAAAATAATTTGGGATATATATTTTATCCAAAAAATATGTTTGTGATCAAAATTTTCTCCAAAAAAATATATTTGGGACGTATATTAAGTCCAAAAAATGTATTTGTGATATATATTTTGTCCAGAAAATATATATTTTATCCAAAAAATATGTTTATGATCAAAATTTTCTCCAAAAAAATATATTTGGGATGTATATTAAGTTCAAAAAATGTATTTGGGATATATATTTTGTCCAGAAAATAGATTTGCGATATATATTTTGTCAAGAAATGTGTTTGGAACGTATATTATGTCCAAAAAATATATGATATATATTTTTTTCTTATATCCAAAAGAAAAAAGAAAATGCCAAATACTTTTTATATTTCCTAAAATAATATGCATATATCTATATATTTCAATAAAATTTAATTCCAGTTTTCAAAATTGTTATAAATAAGAACTAATTCCATTCGATTTTGTACAGTTAGAGTAAATGTGATATTATTTAAAGCTTTAACTCTTTAAGAATTATTTTTATGTTTAAGTCAAGATACTGTATGTAACCCTTGCTTTGAGGCAGTGAAATTCTGCAATCGCGCATTCTGCTAAGTAACAAATCTTCCTTTGGTGGCACACAAAGTATCTCATTAAAATAATGTTTTACAATATTTTTTGAGGAGCTTAAATGTGTGTTTCACAT